CAGAACTTATTTATGAAGAGGTGATTGACTGGGAGGAGAGGAACAAGAATGGTCTAATGAAAGAAGATTGCTCAGGTACAAAGTTTTCCTCTATCAGCCCAAAATTGTTAGCATAAGCCCAAAGCTGCAGCCTCACTGGACTTGTCACTGTTTGGAAAAACGCTTCACACTAACAGCTTCACCAAAACAAACACTCACTTTGATGTTCACAAGGCGCAAAAGGATCCTAGAACAGTGTGTACATGTATGTGTATATATTTATTATTATTATTATTTTTGGTTCACACACACAGATGTCAGTATGCAGCAGTGGAAACAGTAGTTGTCCCTAAATATTGTCTTTCAGTACAATACTCTTAAAACAACTACAGTATCTTAATGCCGTACTGTAGCTAAGGAGTCTGCTGGCATTCTCATGGGCCACAAGACAGGTATCCTTAAATGTGCCATTGTGGACACATGCACTCTGTTAGGTATACCTCGGTGGTACGTTGTCGGACTGCTTTTTTGTCTTCAGAACTGTCCTTAATCGTTCGTTGCATAAACTCAACAAGATGCTGGAAACATTTCTCAGGAATTGTGGTCCATATTGCTTTGATAGTGTCACACGGTTCCTGCTGATTTGTCGGCTGCACGTCCATGATGTGAGTCTCCCATTCCACCACATCCCGAAGATGCTCTCCTGGATTGCGATCTGGCCCATTTGTGTAGACCGTTTGAATGCAGTGAACTTGCTGTCATGTTCAAGAAAGCAGCTCGAGATTGTTAGCAGAAGAAGCTAGTATAAGAGGGATACACTGGACATGGTCAGCAAGAGTCCTCAGGTAGCCTGTGATGTTTAAATAATGCTTAATTGGTACTAAGGTGCCAAGAATATATGCTCCAGACTATTACATCACCAGTAGTAGCCTGACCTGTTGATGCAAGGCAGGATGCTTTCATGTTGTCGACGACAAATTCTGACCCTACCATCTAAATGTCACATTTTTCAAACCTGTGGTGAGCCCATGTTAATTGTAGCCTCAGTTGCTGCTTGCTGGATATTTCCTATTTTTCAAACCATTCTCTGTAAACCTTGGAGATGGTTGTGTAGGTCAGTAGTTTCTGAAACACTCAGACTACTCAGGCACCAAAGACAATGCCACATTCAAAGTTACTTAAATCCCATTCTGATTCTCCATTTGAACTTCAGCAGGTTGTCTTGAGCATGTTTGCATGCCTAAATGCACTGAGTTGCTGTCATGCGATTGGCTGATTAGGTATTTGCATTATCAGTTTAACAGGTATACCTAATAGAGCGGCTGTGAGTGGATGTTCCAGTAACAATGTACTAGGAAGTGTAAATGTTGTTGCCATATGCAGCTAAATTTCTGGTTCTGTCTGTTGTTTTTGTGTGTAATGTGTCAGATGTGGTGTCAGGTTCGGCCTCCCAGTCCTCTTCAGCCAACGATATCTCGTCCATGTCCACAGAGCAAACCCTGGCCTCAGACACAGACAGCAGCAGCATCGACACACTGACAGGACCTCTGGACGAGAATCACTGAACACAGACATTTTCCACACATCTCTCTCTCCGTCTGCCTGCCTGCCATCTCCAGTTTTCGCTCTCCAAACATCAGTAGCCCTTTTCAGACATGGAATATGTAACATTGGTGAAGTCAGCAATCTGTTAAAGTGACAGCTCAATCTTTCAGACATCGGTCAGTTTTACATCAGTGTTTTCATGGATTCAAACCAACAAACATGACATGCCTAAATATTGTCAGCATTGCCTTTAGTTAAGCGTAAACGCACTCTTGAGCGCGTTGTTCTCAAACAGGGGTACTCTGTGTATGTGTGCGTGCATGCGTGCGTGCTGCTGAGAAAAGCCTTCCCACACAGGCTCCAAAACAAATCTCTCTCTTCATGAGTGGGAATAATGAAAATGAGGAATGTTTTAATCTTATTGCAAACCAAGTTTATGAGCTAAAATGTTAATATGCACATATTTTACTGTTTAGGGCGTTCTCTTGTGAGCGGAGCAACTCACAAAGACGCGTTCGCGGCATACCTTTTGGTGTGCGTTACCGTTAATGTCCTGCATGCTCTTAGTCTTGTGCCGTGCTGGAAGTGTTACGTAACTGTTACGAGGTCTGACCCAGGAGATTTGCCATCACAGGTTTGAATACATGAAGCAGACATGTTCAGACACCGTCAGGAGAGGGTACATGTCTGAAAGGGGCTTAACAGCCATCATCATCCTTTCTTTTCTTTGTTTTTTAACTCCACATACACTTGTTCTGTCTCCTTTATGTCTTTAGTTTTTCTCTTTAGTCTCAATGGACAGGTTTATTTTTCTAATTTGTTACACGCTGTGTCGTTGGAACTGCTGCCTGCAGGTAAAAGATACCTGTGCTCTCTGTTTTCTCCATTGTTTTACTTGATCACCTGCCTATATGCGGTGTATGCATCCATATTGATTTGCCAGTAGTAGGTGGGGGAGTCGTTTGTTTTTGTATGCCTGTATTTTAAAAGTTTTATTTTTTTAGCGAGTCGAGACCAGAGGTCATCGTCATGAAATCAGGGCAGGCAAGCATCACACTGCAACCTGCTCTAGTGCATGTTACGCCACAAAGAACAAAAGCTTACCATAAACTGATGGCATCAATCATGATCAAACAAAGTATTGCAGATCTCTACAGCGGTGCGTTCTGCACAGTGTTTTTGTTTTTAATTGAATAATTAATTGGCTTGAGTGATGTTGGTTTTAAGCTTTTCCCCCTGACAGCGAGGGGAAGCTGTGATTGCAGTGTTACTGTTTATTTCCCGATACAATGTACTGTATGTAAAGATGTCACTCATAGTGGCTGTAGACCCTTTCATTACAAATAGATAGGATGTGCTTGTTTGGTTAAGAAATTCAACATGTCTGTGGAGCTACATATATCTATATCTATATATATTGCAATCACCCTTATTTGACTTACGGTACTGACTATCAGTGTGTACATCAAAAAAAAAAAATCGTAATCCTGTACATCCGGAAGAGGCAAAACAAGATACTTGTATTTATTTTTGTGTGTTCTTGCAGAGTGTTGCACACAACCACAGTGACGCCCGTGGGAATTAAGCCTCTTGTCAAAACATTTCATTGACAAACGTGTGGACTGCTCCCTTTTGTCTTTTTTTCTCTCTCGCTCTCTTTTTTTTAAACCATTCCATTAGTGCTGGAAAAGTTACACAATGAATCATGAAATCAGACGACACGTTTTAACCTGCATGAAGGCTTCACACCTGTAAGAAATTGTAGTTCTTGCTATACAAAGAAATGCATTCAAGTGCGTTCTTTCACTCACAGTACGTTTCTGTTCTTAGTTCAGAAAGCTTTTAGAGTTAGGGAGCTGTTGTAGTTTTACGAGGGTTTGTTTTTTGTTGTTGTTGTTGTTGTTGTTGTTTTGGGGTTTTTTGGCCTTAAATGTGTGTTTTATGTTTCATGAGAACATGCTGTGCAGCACTCATCCTTATTTTTCTCCTTTGAATAATCTGACCCAGCTGTTCAGGTTTTTTAAAAGTTCCCAGAGAGAAAGCAGACATGCTGTGGTTTAAGCGTGGGTGAGACTGTGGAGTCCTGAGTTCAACTGAAGATTGAAAGTCAAAGATAAACCTTGAAAATGGACTGTGCAGATACTGCGTCGCCCCCCCTTTGTTCTTCTTTTTTT